TCGTGTCATTTTGAGAGAGTTGCTTCGTTCATGACTATCGCTTTCCACTCGTGCATATTTAGGTGCTCGACGTTCAGGCTGTGGTACGGTGAAGGATGTTTTACGACTAATCACCGCGCCTGGCTCGTCTTCTTCCGACTCGCTATCATCCGCTTCGTACAGACCTGGATACTGCCGCCGGAGGTCCTGCTGCGAGGATTGACGTAGAGCCTTTGGAGTCTTGTCCTCATCCCCAGCAAGTACAGTTTCTGTACGAGCGCGACCCGTCTCGTCAATGATAAGGCGTGTCCGTGGTCGTCGTATCTCTGGGATAGACTTGAGCGAACCGCCGCTTTGACGCTTGAGAGGTGAGGGGCGCCGTGGTATGTTCGAGGCATTACTTGGCATGGCTGTCCAAGGTTCCATGAGAGGCGCTCTCGATGTTCTTACACCACCATCGGTGTTACTCCGATGAAGTGCAGGCCTCACGTCGTCTGCTGAGCCAGAAGAAGAATTTGTATTACTGCGAGAATGCTGACCCCTTGCCTTTTTCGCCATCTCCCGTTCAGCCTGTGCATCTCGCAACTGCGTCTCATACGGCTGTCTTGAGCTCAAGTCCACGTTGGATAGTTGGGGCATAGCACCAAAAGAAGCAGTCATGTCGGGATTAGAAAAACTAAAGAGCATACTGGGATCTACGCCAGTAGTTGCAGATGCAAACGAGTCCTGCCGTGACATTTGCCCCTGATCCATGTGGCAGTTTGCAAACGACATTGGTCCGGGCGAAGCCTGAAAACTCTGAAAGCCAGGCGTCTGCATAATATTAGCGGCATGGTGCATGCTTTGCCAGTTCATGCCCTGATCCATTCTCTGCGGCGTGGGAGCAAATCCATCTACGCCCATGGGTAAATCAAGATCCATGTGCATGCCATCATTCGCCGGATCCCAGAACAGCCGTGATTGCGGCATGGGTGGCGCTGTCATGTGCCCGTTGCTAGGAAACTGCATCATGTCTGGCGTGTACTGCAGACTGCCAAAGCCAAATGGAGTCTGATCGAAGAGGGCTTCCGAGGGCGGCATCTGGCTAGGGGTCCTATGTATGACTGTAGCCGGTGTGGCCACTCCATTCCCAGCACTCTGTTGTAGACTCTGCCTAGACGAGTCATCCCTTGTCGGGGGCGGTGTTTGCATTTGCGAAAAGTCCATGGTGACAGGCCGAGATACCCCACGATGGTCTTGCGGTGGCCCTCGTGCCCCGGCGGCGGCGGCGTTCTTCAGCTGGCCGAGATCAGGCGACGACGCCAGTCTGCGTGAGACGTCGACTGGCGGCAGAGGCAGGTTCTGAGGAGCAAAGTGGTTGACATGGAACTCGGGGTCTTCGGGGGTGCGGACGGGCTGGCTGTACGAGCTCGACGGCCGGTCTATGGGCGTCGACAAAGCGAACAGGGGCGCTTGAACAGGGGCGTGCTGGGCATTGGGTAGCGGGGTTGCCCAGGCGTCGAGGAAGTGCGAGTGAGGAGCCGTATCAGTGATTGGGGTCTTGAGGGGAGCGTCCGGAAAGGTCAGCGACTTTGGTGTTGAGGATGGACTTGGTAGAGGCCAGTCGGTCGATCTAGCGTGTGACCCACGTTAGCCTGGGGCACATGCAGGTGCGAGCCGATGTACGGAGAAAAACAAAAACGGGCAAGCGGTCAATGGAGAGCAGATGGGGGAGTAGCAAGGAGACGAGGAAGAAGGAGAAGAAGAAACACGTTGGTTTGTAGGGAATTGGGCAAGTTTTACTGGAATACAGTTTCGGGGGGAGAGAGAGCCTAGGGCCGGTGGGCAACAAGCTTCAGATGACAACCGTGCGGTGCTGCCTGCCCCTCTGCCTACCCCAAACCCCCATTGGGACTGACTTGTGTCAGATTCGACGCTTAAGCCAGGCAGAGAAACCATGGACGACGGCGGGTGGTTGTGACGGTGAAGCTTGTGGCACCGGCCCCGACAGTAGCACATGTCTTCCTTGGGCCCAGGGCCTGAGAGGGAGAGAGAGGGTGCACGTGGGGGATGGAAATCGGGCAAAAGGGAAGCCGTACGCATATGTATGCTGATCCAGACTCATAGCCAGCCCGGTAACACAGCGTTGCTGTCCTACGGACCATGTAGCGACCAATATAAGACGACGGCGGCGGGTGGTGGAAAGCGAGGCGTTGGGTGGAAGGGTGAGCGGTGTAGACGGCAGGTGTCGTGGCCGAGATGGATAGATGGGGGTTGTTGTGTCTTTGTGTCTGTCTGTCTGTCTGTTCTGTTCTGTTTTATCTGCAGGCTGGAGCAAAAAGGGTTGAGCTAGTAGTTCAAGGAGAGGCGTGTGGTGGGTGTTGGGTAGTAGGCTGCAGGAGAGACGTGCCAGAGCGGTGATACCTCGACGACGACGACGACGGCACAGGTCACGGACAGCAAGCGGCGCAGTATTCTGGCGAGGATGAAGAAACGGTGAAAAGGTTTCTTCACGTACTAGGCAGCTCTGCAGTGGGGCCGGGCAAAGAGTCTGAAGCTGCAAATGCAAAAGACGTATAGTTCGGCAAAGAAGGGAGAAATCGTGACAAAGTACCCCGATCGTGGCCCACCGAGCAGCAGCAGCGCTTGCAAACACGGGCGCTGAGGGACGCCGGGCTCGCCGTCTCTGCTGAGGCCTAGCAGCAGTCGTCTAGCTCAGGTACCGAGCCGCATGGGCCGTCCATAACGACATGGCGAGGCTGGCATCATTGGGTGGTGACGGCAGGGAGGGAGCCCGTGGAGGAATCGTCTTGCATCGCCGACGCCGCGCCCAGCCTAGCAGCGAATAAGGTGAACGGCCGGGCCCTAGGAAAAAGACGTGACTATACATACACATGGATGCCCTAGTACTACCTCTGTATATATAACCACACACACACACACACACACACACACACATACACAAATAGAGAGAGAGAGAGAGAAGACGACGTCCTCCACCATGGCCCTTTTGTCCGTAACGATAGCGTGCTGCAACAAGGTGATGGGTTAAACATAGAACCTGACCAAGGCCCGAGACGACTCGAGGCCCTAGATACTATGTCCTACCAAGGCCCATCCCCCCATGCGCCAAGTCCGGGCCTTCTACACTCTAGAGTCCCTCCTTCGCCAGCCACTCATGCGCCCCAATGTCATGGTCCCCCCCCCTCCCTAGCCTTGGGATCCTCCCTTTCCACACGTTACGAATAGGAAATCAAGCTTGCCCATTTTTCCCCAATCAAAGATATACTACCCCGGAAATAAGCAAAAACAGAAACAAAAAGTCCATCATTCTCCAGATAAAGAAAAACAGTGAGAGAGAGAGAAAAGAAACTCCCGCTCTCTCTCTCTGTTTTAATTCTCTATCGCCAGCTGGCACCAGAAAAAAAAGGATCCCCGTGTGTGAAGTGTGTCAGCAATATGCACCGCGCCATTTCCCAATCCCCCGCCAAGCAGCACATGGACGAATCTAGCCGTCATATCCTTTATGCGCAAATCTCTCCCAGTATTTACCCCGATACAAACTCCCTTCTTACATACCGGTGAATAAAACTCCCACAGATTGCCTTACTAATCTAACAGCATGCGCTCTTTTTTTACTACTTACTGTCTCCGCATCACCAGATTGAGATGGTCGCTTGCTGATTTGGCCCCAGCGCCTCTTCCCGCCCGATTAGCTTGCAGTTAAGCGTGTGGTATATACGTGGTGGAAGCGTCATTGACATTTTTTGCATGTGCATGTGTGTAATTTCCAACACACGCACACACCCCTCTCCACAAATTCCAACTTTTGTCCGGAGGCTGCGTATGTGTGGAGGGGGGGTGTGGGAAACGGGGAAGATCGAGCTCGCCTCCGTGGAACGATGGATCACCCGGGCTCGATGGATGTGGATGGACGGACGTAAACTGTACCTGGTCAGTATCGCCTCTCCTGTTTTTAGATGCTAGCGGCTGCGTCTTGCATGCAAGGTACCGTCCGTCGCGAACTCTCAGCTGCTCTGTCTCTTTCTTATGCTCATCAGCTTGTTGGCGTGACTCGTTGGTTAGCAACAAGTATAGTGCCGGTGTTCCCAGCTGTGGTTGGGATACGGGATCCCAGTGACCATGCATGCAAGTCGGGCGATTCAGAACACCCGTCAAGAACGATGCGGGTAGAGAGAATATGTCGAATCGACCCGGAAAACAAAACCTCTCCATGTTTCCAACGATAAACATTACATTTCCACGCTCAGCTCCCAGCCCACCATCCACCATCCCGTACCTGACGTCAGTGCCAAGCAGCAGCCAGGAGAACCCGCAATGCTCCGGCAAACCGATTGGTCCTTGTCCCGTTGACGCGATCGAGTGGTCTCTATACTAGTTTGTTGCGCGGACAACCGTGCCGACTTGTGTATCATGTGTTACTAGTATATCGAGATGGAAGATCCCAAGAAATGGCCCTTTTTACCGATTAGGAAAGAGAAAAAGGGGTTTAAGGACAAGGTGGTGTGGGGCGGGGGATGAAGAATCAGAGAGCAGAGCAGGTTTTCTTGGGTAGGTTTACTGGTTGTGATAGACGGATACAGTGGTGCGTTGCGTGACTTCCTCAACAGGAAATATAGGTAGTGGTGCACGTACCTCATCTCAACATATATCGAGTTGGGTACAATGGGAATTTGCCTTGTAAGACTTGGCAATAAAAAGCAAATGTGATAAAAGTGTGTTCCTGGTTGGATCGGATTTCTAGCAAATACTATTGTCATCAAACGACCATATCCGAAGCGTTGAAAAGGTGACATACGATACCCGCATCATTTTGAATAAGATCATATGAATAAACCATTGAATATTTTGGCTAAAAATGCAGAAAATCAGTGCCAACTACCCATACATGCAAAGTCAACCCCAATAACTCATTCCATAAAGAAACCCCGACAAACTCCAGAATAAAAGAACAGTATAAAGATATATACACAAAGGAACACATAAACACACACACACACACGCACACACCACCCTTGTCATCACCTTGTAGTATACGCCCTAACATACCGCTCACCCTGAACCTCCCCATCCTCCATAAACGACATGCTGTCCTCCGGATCATCAAACGGCGAGCGCGCCAAGCACACAGGGCTAGCAGGGAGACGAACACTGCTGTGTCGAGAGTTGCTCGTGAAGCTCGGCGGAGGCACGCTGCTGGGTCGGTAGGGCGGTGGCGGTCCTGACAGGCTGTAGCTGTCGGAGAAGGGGTCGACGGACATGCGGTTGTTGGAGGTGATGGAGACCATGTCCGAGGTATCCATGCCGGTGAGGTAGGCGCCGTTGGAAGAGGATACAATGGGACCTATGATTATGGGCTGGGGTTGATTCCAGCTAGATGTGGGCGGGAGATGGGCTGGCGGCGCAGTGTAATGTTGTGATACAGCCACTGCTGGTACCGGCGCAGGTAATGGTGCCATATGAGGCCGTATCGTGGGCGAGTCTGGCTCCAACTTCATTTCCTGCGCAGCAGCTTCTGCCCTGCGCTTCTTGCGCCTACGCAGACACACTAGAGTTACTGCTCCAATCATCACAAGGATTATGATGGGCACTATAGCTGCTGCAGCATACACTGGCGCCTTGTTGGGACCCTCTTGAGACCACTCCCATCCAGAGGGCCGACCGCCATACGAGCCAATGGTTGAAGATGGTGCTCCAGTCGTTGTTGGAAAAGCATTGGTTATTGACAATAACAGAGTCGAGTCCAACTCGGGATACGGTGTTTGTGAAAGGACTGCTGTTTTCGAAATAGACATTTCCCAAGGGTTCGTCGTGGCAGTGTGGCCTCCGTATCCATATGGAGGCCAAGGCAGAGTTGAAGGGTATCCATCAGGCCGTGTGCTGGGGCGACGTCTTGTCTGAGTATCGTTGTCGTCGAGAGACTGCGTCTGAAAAGCCATGGATGTAGGCTCACTTTCTTCCGCGAACGTTTGCGAATATGAACTTATCGTAGTGACAATTGTCACATCAAAGTCCTGGGGAACCCATGGCGGCGGGCCCCGTTCTTCTTTTTCCCAACCGTCTTGCTGGGGAGCCATTGCGGCTGAGGTGGTCTGCTGACGAGGCGATTTGGGGCAGACAGATGGACTGCAGTAGGTGGCAGGTATCAAGACCAGTCAGACGACGGCTGTGCGGTGAGATGCCTGATCACTCAAGTACAGCCGATTTAGAGGCTGTGCTATGGTCGTGGTTGTCCGCGTCCTGGCCAGTAGCAGGAGATGCGGGGCCGAGAAGGAATACCAGGGCTGACCTGGTTTCTTGAATCGATGACGCGAGATAAGATGGCAGCTTTTATGGAAGTTTACGTCTTGAACAGAGTGATTGACAAATCTCGGAGTACTTGACTGCAAAGAATCGACGGGCTAAAATAGAGAGGTGAAGCAGGAGGGGAGCACATAACAAGACCCCAAGCTGAAGAGGCGCAGGCATGTTGCTGTTATCTGGCGCCATGTGCGATGCTGCAGGCCGTCAGGCCAACCAGCCCCAAGTCCGGTGTGCCGACCGTAGGTATTCGACTTTATTGGCCACAGGCTGCGATGACCGTTCCAGCCATAGCCCCAACCTGCGTGTGTTGGAGACAAGTAACCCCACTGGCTCGGAATTGGGTATTTCAGGCTTGGAGAGGAGGCTAGTCGTCGATCTAACAAAGCTTAGTCGATGCAAACACCGTATTCTCCGGGTTGTGTGGACATGGTGCGTTGTTGTGCTCCATCGCTCGCATGTACCCCTCTTGTCTTGTGTGATAGGCTTGTTTGTTTCAGCTGGAAGGGGGAGCGTCCTGATCGACACGGGATAAGCAAATGCGGGTGTACCAACAACCAGCCTTTACACATGCTACGCCTACTCTCCACCGTGCGGAGATCCCTCTGCGGGGCGTTTGGTGACGAACATGCTTGGCCGAGGAGTGTTATCAGGGTGATCCTGGGAGTAAGTGAGTGGTAATGGGTCCATTTCTTGTCTTGGTGATTACAAGTATATCCCGTTTGGGCAATGAACGATGCCACCATCAACACAGAGGTGGAGCCGCAGCAATGTCAAGGCGTAATGCGGAGCGGGAGATTCTTATATCCGGCGGCCGTTCCCGCTCCTCTCCCATGACCTTGCTGCTTGTGTCGGGCATGCGCGTCACATGTTCGCATCAAAACAACCGGCCATGTCGTACATGCACTTGGAACAATGACAATAACAGAGGCGAGAATGTGTCTATCTGGCATCACAAAGCGAGTCCGGCTGCTACGTGGCATCGGGTCGCCATGGATGATGCGGAGATGCGGCCCAGCCTGACAGTTGCTGGAGCAGCGCTTGGCCGGTGATCTCATCGGCCGCACGTGCATCCATCTGCTATCCGCGGACACCTTCACCACGCCTAACTCGACATATACTCTCCACCAACATGGACAAGTTCAAGAGTGTGGCCAAGGGTGGCTGGCACCCAGAGAAGGAACGCACCAACAGCGGAAGCAGTGCAGGGGGGCAAAGCGATTCCAAGATTGGACAGGTGGTATGCAAAGGCACATTTCTCTGACAGGCATGCATTCTGACTTGCTTCTGATATGTAGAAAGGCTGGGTTGGCAAGGCCCAGGGCAAGGATCTCCACGCTGAAGCTGCCCGTGAACATCAATCTACGCCTCTATCGTCGTTGAAAGACCCAGCCTCGTTTGCTCCACCGCCAAAGCGCCTTGACTACAATGCAGGCTCTTCAGCAGCAGCAGGCGCCCGCTCGCCCACTGGACTGGCATCTGCTCCCGCTGCAGGGGCCAAACAGAGACTACAGGAGAGGGAAGAGGCGCGGCGACAAGCAGAAGAAGAAGCCAACAAGCCGGCTCCAGGACCATATAGATCCAACACGACCGGATTGAGCACTGCCCATCTACCCAAACCTCCAGCCTTCCGACCAGGTGCTGCTTCAGCAGCGTCACCAGCACCTCCACCCAAGCCGAAGCCTAGCCTCCCTCCCCGGCTGCCTCCGCGACAGAACTCTAATCCCGACGAGTTTACGCCACCTCCTCCACCGACATATAATGAGGCCACACAGCAAGGGACACCGGCACAAGGGGTCATGAACCAGGCTGCGTTAGGTCGTCTTGGACAGGCGGGTGTGGCAGTTACAGGCCTGGGCATTGGTCGGACGGCATCACCTCCAGTGCCGCCTCGGGCGAACCCGTCTCCTCCCGTACCAGCGCGTGCAAAGCCCTCACCACCAGTACCGCCTCGGCAGAACTCTGGCCTAAGCGTCAGTTCACAGGAAACACCTACCACCAATCAAGGATCGCAGATGAGCGAGCTGCAAAGTAGGTTTGCAAGATTATCGGGACCAAAGTCACCAGCAGAACCCCCTGCGATGGGTACATCGTGGGCGGACAAGCAAGCCGCGCTGCGTACGGCGAGCAACTTGCGCAATGACCCCTCCAAGGTGTCTGCCTCTGATCTGAAAGGAGCAGCGTCGACAGCGAACAATTTCCAGCAACGACACGGGGAGCAGGTTGCATCTGGGTGGAAGTCTGCCAATTCGCTCAACCAAAAGTACGGAATCGCAGCCAAAGTTAACAATCTTGCGTCATCAAGCGCATCACCACCACCGCCAGCGCCAGCAGTCCAGTCGCCGGTAGCGAGTAGCCAGGGAGGGTTGGGGAAGAAGGCCCCTCCCCCACCACCGCCAAAGAAGAAGGATTTGAGCGGCGGCAGTGGTAGTGGCAGCTCAAATGAGCCTCCGCCAATCCCGCTGAGCAGCAAGCCCAAGTTTTAAAGCCGCAATGACAAATTGGATGTCTTTAGATAGATGTGTATGTACATATGTAGTCGATATGATATACCCGCTGTTGTAATAATGTTCCCCGCATGTATGATTGTAGCAGTCCCTCAAGTCACCTTGCCAGTTACGGCGCAGCGGCTCTGTTCCGCAGCTTTATTAGGCTTGGGCTCTGGACCCTCGACGTGTTCGCTACAATCCCTGCCCAGATTTTTGAAATCTTTTTTTTTGTTGACCAGATCTGGATTTGGTGGCAATTGAACAGCACTGTGGACCGGATGGGGTTCTGGCATAGAGGGCGAATGAAAGAGAGGCGTACATGCATTCACACACACATAGAAACAAGCCCTGGACTTCCCAAAGGCGTTAGGCTTGCGAGGCTCACGGCAGCGGCAACAAACCCCAAGGCCAAGTCTTTGAGCGTTTTGTTGCTTGTGGCTAGGGGGGGGACTGGGGACTGGGGCCTCGGCACGTCATAGCGATGTTATTCGCCCAAAAATGTTGCGTCGCCGCTAAAATCCTCACCAAAACCAAGAGTCCCGTCCAGGTCCATTGCCTGCTCTTTCCAGCTTCCGGTCCGATGCACCTTTACTAGATACGTGGTCGCCCCGAGTCTATCTGTGCGCCTCGCCTTGGGTATATTTTGTCTTCGCTGCCCCGGATTCGTGTGCTGGAACCGTCAATTGCGCAAACGACACTGGCCATTGCGTGTGTTGGGGTGATAAAAACAACACAACAAAGAACCCAACAACAGCCACCGTTTCACTCTCCCTCCTCTGTTGTCCGGGCCCCGCTCTCACGACAGCTATCCCCACCTCTCGAGGCCTGTCGACGACGACGCTGCTTAGCGTAACGGCTCGGAATTGGGCCTTACCGAACTGCAGAAAACTTCCCTCACGGCCCCTTCACCCACGCCAGACCACCACCACGCCCTGCGACCTCTCCATTGAAGCATCCATACACTGAGCCATCATGTCTGGCGCAGGTCCTTCTCTGCACCCCGGCGACTGGCCGTCGAGGGCTGTCTTCCAATTCCCTCCCGATGCCGCGCCCTCGCCCATCCCACCTCCGTGGACCGGCGAGGCGACGTTTGCAAACCCATTCCCTATTCCTGAGGACATCTACCAGGGCGCTTTGTCCTACAAGGTCCCGCTGACCATTGCCTCTGTCTACTTTGTCACCGTCACCTACGTCAACTGGTACAACCGCCAGCATGGAAACAAGCCGTGGAGGATCGCCAAAACCCGACCCTTCTTCGCGTTCGTCATCTTCCACAACGTCTTCCTGGCTGTCTACTCGGCCATTACCTGCGTCGCCATGATCCGCTGCCTCAAGCGCTCCTTCCCTCACTACAGCGAGCCCAACGCCGTTGTTGGCACCATTGACGCCCTCTGCAAGATCCACGGCCCCCGCGGACTTGGCGATGCCGTCACCTTCAACAACACCAACGACTCTTGGAGCAGCCTCAACCCAAACATTGCCCTGGCAGCCAGCGGTCTTCCCGACAGCTCCGACCTTGGCAGAATTTGGAATGAGGGACTTGCTTTCTGGGGCTGGTGGTTCTACCTCTCCAAGTTCTACGAGGTTCTCGACACGGCCATTATCCTCGCAAAGGGCAAGCGAAGCACAACCCTCCAAAAGTACCACCACGCCGGTGCCATGCTGTCCATGTGGGCTGGTATGCGCTTTATGTCCCCACCCATCTGGATGTTTGCTCTGGTCAACTCTGGAATCCACGCTATGATGGTAAGAATCTACCCTTTGCTCAGATTGACGCCTGCTAATCCTTCTAGTACACCTACTACACCGTATCAGCCCTCGGCTACCGCGTCCCCAATGTCGTCAAGCGGACCCTCACTACAATGCAAATTACCCAATTCCTCGTCGGTTCCGCCTTCGCCGCTGTTCACCTCTTCATTTCCTACACCGTCCCCGTCTCGGTCGCATACAAGGTTGCTGAGAAGGTTGCCCAGAAGGCTACTCCTGAGGCGGTCGCGTCTACAGTCTCTTCTGCAGTCGCCTCTGCCACTGAGTCTGTTGCCGAGGCCTTGCCTACCGTGACTGGCGTTGCCGTTGCTTTCCTCAGGAAGCTCATTTACCGCGCAGCTGGTGACGAGGGTCTTGCGGAGAACATTCCCGTCCCTGGACACCCCGTCCCAGTCCGCCAGCAACAGCCACTACAAGATGCGGCCGCTGCGGTGCCTACTCCTCTGCACAACGCAGTACACAACTTGCTCCACCCTCACGAGACTATCGAGAAGACCTTCTACCGCACCGAGTACCAGACTGTTCCTTGTGTCGATACCTCCGGCCAGGCTTTCGCCATCTACGTCAATCTGATTTACCTCGCCCCTCTCACCTTCCTCTTTATGCGATTCTTCTTCAAGTCCTACCTCCGCCGCTCGTCCCCCAACACCAAGCGCTCGAAGCCCCGCACCATTTCCGACGCAGCTGGCGATGCTAGCCGCAAGGTAGAGCGCGAACTCGACTCTCTGGACAAGTCAGCCGAAGATGCCATCTCCTCGGGAGTGAACATTGCTAGGGATGCTGTTCGTGGAAGGCGACCAGTCAATGGCAAGGTCAAGGACGAGAGGCAAGGTAGCATGAGCCCAGCCAACCAAAAGTTCTTGGACAATGTCAGCCGCAGAGTCAGCCAGAAGCTACATGAGCTTGACGAGGGTAGCGAGGCTTCTGCCCAAAAGGCAAAGCAGATTGCGAGGGAGGTTGTTGCCAAGGCCGAGCAGGCTGGCCACAAGGTCGACCAGGCATACGAAGACAACGAAGAGGATGTGGCTGAGAAGTCAAAGATGAACGGCAACCATCAAAACGGCCCAACGGATGCCGAAGTCGCAAAGCCCGAGTCTGAGCCCGAGCCAAAGGACATTAACAACACGTTGAAGAAGGGCGATGGGCTGTTCTAGATGGACCAAAAGGTGCTGTCACAAGCAAATGCATCCAACCAAAAGGGGAAGAAGTAATCTCGAGTTTAGCGGATCCCAAAGTTTGGTTGACGCCGCACTACTGCTACCAACATTGGGCTCGGAGTTTTTTTTTCGCCATGTAGTACCAAATTTTGAGCGCTGTATTAGACCTGGTTGAAAGATCCAGACTTTTCTTCTTCAGGCTTAAACCTCCCTGGCATTATTTTGCAAGGGCGTAACGGAGAAGAAGGAGCAAAAAAGCGTTTTGGAGAATCATGGCGTACAACAATTTTTTATTTTACATGTTTAACAAATAGGTCTGGGTTGATATGGACAGGATGGGACAGGACGGGGCGAATTGTGGAGGGATGGCTTTTTTGGTAATTTAGAGAAAAATTAAGGTCCGTGAGAGATGGAATGGAAATAGGCCTAGGCCTTTGTCTTTTTTTTTTTCTTCCAAACGATCTCAATGCCAGATTTAACTTTTTTTTTTACAATTGTTTCTGTGCTACTTGGATATATCATTACACTATGTAAACACAAGACCAGAGTGTAATAAAAGTTTACACTACAACATACACCTATCGTATGTCAACCCCATACCCCATACCCCCCACCCCACCCCCAAGTTCGACCCTCTCCTCCCTCTCCCTCCTCCTCTCCTTCTCCCCACCACCATCCCTCCTCACAACCACCACCCCATTCCCCGTCTTCTTCTCGACCCCCGCTCCCGCACCACCACCAACACCATCCTCATCATTCCTCGCGAAAACCTGTAGTCCACGTAAATGCGTATCCTTTCCATTCTGGTGATTTTCTAGAATCTTGATTTGGAGGAGGTGGCAGCGCAAGGTGGGCATCTTGGGGGCGCGGGGGCGGCGGATCGGGGGTGCGCGGCGGGGGAAAGAGGAGGTTGGGTGGGAGGGGGTGAGGGAGGTGAAGGGGGCGCGGGGGTAGTGTAGGGAAGGGGTTGAGGTGGGGAGGTGGGAGGGGGTGGAGGTGTAGATGTTGTTGTTGTTGGGTTGGTCGAAGGAGGTTGTGGGAAGGGGGGTGTGGTGGGGGTTGTTGAGAGGGGTTTGGAGGTGCGGTGGGGGGAAGGGGACGGCGTTTTCGGAGTCGGAGGAGAGGTCGCGGTGAGGGGTTTGGGTTGGGGCTGGGGTGGTGGTTGTAGTGGCGTCTGTGAGGAGGTGGTGTCGTTGGGTATTTGCGGTGGTGAGAGGAGGATTGGCTCCGTCTTCATGGTCGTCGTTGTCGCCTTGGTCGGGGTGTTCGTCGTCGTCGTCGCTGTCTACGTCGCCGACGCCGGAGAAGTCAGCCCAGATCCAGCCTCGGGGGCTTTCGAGCCGCATTTCTCCCCATTCTTGGAGGTCGTTCATGCCGCTGCCGGCGAGGAAGATGATGCGTGTGGGAGTGTAGGATTCATCTTGCTCAAAGTCAAGGTAGAGGCGAAGACCGACTATGCGGACGAGCTTGAAGAAGTGGATGTTGAGGTAGTGTGGTTGAGGGCCGTCGGATTGCCAGAAGAGATTTGTATTTGCGTGCCGGAGCTGGGGTATTGAGCAGCCTGGCTTGGAGGAGGAGACGGTCCATGAGGCCAAGGTACTGATTTCACGAAGATATGGCGGTGGTGGGTCCAGATTGGGGAGTGGAGTTGCTTGGGAGGGCGAGGCAAGCGCTTCGTCTTCAAGATCCTCGTCCTCATCCTCGTCTTCCTCGTGACCAGCGTGGTCTTGGTCATCCAGGCCTACTAGGTCGTCGGCCTCGGCTTCGCCCTCATCGTCGGTTACATGATCCTGGCGACCTCCGAGGTCCATGTCATTGTCTGTGTCATCTGCCTCTGAAGGGGGGGTTGAATGATGAGGTTGGCCTCGGTGGCGACGTGAAGGCGGCATAATTGGTAGTATACAGGTGAAGTCGACGTCACAATTGGGGATAGAGGAGCTGCACAAGGAGCAGGGTTCAGGGATTTGTGTGTGTGCAGCGATTTGTTTCCGAAAAAGCAAACCGAGGCTGCATTACCATCAATGCCGAGCGTATAGAGAGATGTTGGCGTAGTGCGTACGCCCTGAACAAAGCCAGCAAGCAGGGAAGACAGATAAGGACCCACTTGCGGCTCGGGATTCTGGACCGAGCGCGCAACGTTTGTGTGTTGTTCGTATACACAGTAGACTTGCTTTGTGGAGCGCGTGTCTTCAGCGTGGTGCAAAGACGACGGATTAGTCCATCCAAGGTGGTGGGTGGAGGAACCAGAGGCCCAGGCTCACGTCGGCCCTGTTGCTGCAAACCGCCAGGTACTACACGCCGACTACGGGCGGAGACGCGTCTACCCGCTCACACCATCCCACGCCCACCACTCCCGTCCACTGCCGTCCACTTAGCAATTCACACCAGCTGCCAGGTTTTTGTTGCTATATGCCCATCGAGATGCACTTCCGCTCTGCCAATCACGAGCTGCGGCGACTTTTCTTCAGCCAGACAATATCTGGCACGTCGATCCCTAGGTCGAGGTCTGGCCAGCTGCTGTTTCACGACAAATCAGACCACCCACACCCAGCTTTGGGCTTGCCTCCGTCACACGCTTACTATCAAAGTCATCTGTCGAGCCAGCGTCGCCGACTGCCCCTTGACGCCATCCGGGGCTTCTGGGTAGTGGAGGCTTGATAGCTTGGGGACGCCTAGTCGTCGTCCGATGCATCCCTGCATAAACCATCATCATAGTTTGCCTAATCCTGTCCACGCTGCATACACTCCCCTCAACCCATGACTTTAGCAGCTTCACCAACCCTACCTGCCTCTTGCTTTTTTCGCGGCACTTTGTTAATCAAAGGACTAACGCGGCACTTTCTGCACCGCCTCTTGTCCTTCTCAATCTGGCCCACGAACCGTTCCCTCTTCAATCCGTCTCTCCCTCTCTCTCCCTCCCCTATCTATAAGTGACATGTAGCGTTTTTCAGCTATTGCTTGGGTCGCGCCAGTTCGTGTCCCGTCAACTGTCTTAGCTTCGGGCGTATATTGTTCAACATATGCGCCTCTTCCTTCGATACGCATCTCTTTTTCTTGCGCCCTAGCGATCGAACACCTCAGACGTGCCATCTTGTATCTATCCAGACTGCTAATCACAGCATAATGGAAGATCCGGCTCCTGGAGAGGTATCAGGCCTGATGGTGCATACCTACAGGCTCGTCATCGCCTTTCTTATTCTCGCATGGATCTTTATATTGTTACGAGTCTACACTCGCACTGTGATCATTTCCAACTTCGGCTGGGACGATACTGCCATGGTATTGGTAGGAGTAAGTACTGCCTCCAATTTACTCATTCTCTGCCCTAACCTGAGTAGGCAATATTCACTGTATACTGTGGAACAATCATCTACATCTACCACAATGGTGGCGGTACTGTTATAGCCGACTTTGATCAATTGAACCACCTGATGAAGGTACTCACATTCTGTCTTCCTTCAACCACTGCTCAGCTGACCATTACAGATTGCCACGGTTACTGAATCATCTTACGTCTTGACCATGATGCTCATCAAGATATCCCTTGCCGTCTTCTTCGCCCGCATCGTAGTCAAGCGATGGCACTTGACGGTCATATATCTGTTTGTCACTCTCAGCATCGTATCGTCAATCGCCACCTATTTCTACATCTTCCTTCGGTGTGGCCCCGATCTGGATCAGTATCTCATCCGCGAACTGATTCGAGACTGTACGCCTCTTCAACTCGACATATTCATGGCCTATCAGCAAGGTGCGACAAGGACCAACCGGCTCATGACTTTTAATAAGCTAATGTTGGTTCTTTAGCTGTATTCAATTCCATCACAGATATCGCCTTCCTTTTCATGCCGGCTCTGGTGCTTTGGAATTCCCCAATGGAGCGACGCGCCAAAATTTCAGTCGGCATCATCTTGGTAGTGGCCACACTGTACGATCCTACAAGACCATATCCAGACTCAGTGCTAACATTTGACAGCGGCGCGGTATGCTCACTCATACGATTCAAATACATCAAAGGTGTACTCAAAAATGGCAACTACTTCTACCAAGCCGTCCACATCTGTATGTGGAGCACCATCGAAGTGGGAACCTGCATCATTGCCGGATGCACAGCCACACTAAGACCGCTGATGAAGATTGCCTTGATTCAAGTACAAGTAACGCTTCCCCTTTCGCGACTTGGTTCTGGAGTACCGCCTACATCCAGCACTCTAAAGAGCAGTCAGCAATCAAATCATCGCTCGTCCCGTATGATACGCCTTCCGGACAACGACCTGGAGTACGGGAACCCTGACCCCACGGGATCAACCTTGCTGCTCCCCAAGATACCCGAGTTTGTTGAGCTGGTAGTACGCCCGGACCCTGTCATCCTTGCGCCTGGTGCAAAGAATACACAATCAAGGCCGGGTTCCATGTTTGGATGACTCGAGTCGAGACTTTGGGGCTCGTTGCTATTGCGCAACCGGCTCGAATAAAGTTTTGCTAGGCCAGCAGACTGGACGGATACAGGCGCATCCATCCTCATTCCGCGGAGCCTGGTGAGGACTGGGGTGAAGCTAGGCTCGACCATAATTCCGCATTAGGAAACGTCCAGACAACTAGCTTTGGCGATCAGCATGCCCAGTGCACATGGCTTGCTACCCCACGGATTTTCCGATAAGTGCATGCGAGACATTCTTCGCACCACGTTTGCACTGTGCAACTTGACGGCTTGCGGTACCGGTACTGACAGGTTGCCGTTATGCTATCCTACAACACCGCTGTTTGCCGGCACTACACTACGTACATACACATACGCAATGACCTCCAAAGTGCCTGACGCAAGAGATGCTATCGTCGATGTATTCCTCTCTTTCAGCCTTAGGGCTCGGTTTCGCTTGGTTCCTTAATCACGGACGCATACATGCGGTACCATCAATGAAACAGACATGCACTCATTCCCCGGAGAAAGAAAAACCAGTTGGATAAACCTTGGCTATCCTCAAAGTCTACCACCACGCCATCTCCCTCGATGCCACGCCTTGGCGCCACACGGCAAGCGGTTTCCGACGCCCTGTGCCGAGTAAAGACAAGTCCTGCTGCAGATAAGGGCAAACTGTATTTACGAAATGTTGCACATTACGTTCTCACTTCCCCCGTCAACCTTGTTTACGTTACCCTAAAACCGGGGTTTTTGGATTGTACCGCGCGGTTGTCTGTTTCCGAGTTTTATCGGACATGGCGAATTTCCCTTTAGAGTTTTCGCCACCCCCGAAGTTGCGACTGGGGGAGGGGAGTACACTACGTAATCAAAAAAGAACAAGTCATGTATGTATAACATTGTTTATGACTGAGGAACCCTTTTTGTCCTCTCTTTTCTAATGTATGATGATGAATGTGGAATGGGATGTAAGGGCTGCATCGGGGGCGTTGTTTAGCAGTTAGTCCCTGCATATCTTTTTCATTTGTATATATGTATAATACTTGTTTAAATCAATGAAGCATAAATGTCCATCACATCTCGTCACATCACATCTACGCCCAATTACATCTTCAACTTGTTTTTTTTTGTTTATTTTCTACATACCCGCGTTTCGCGCATTCCAATATCCTTCACACTTCCTTCATGTGCACTATGCCCTCCAACACTCCATAACCCAACGCTATCCCCCTCCGCGCCTCCCCCCTTCTCCCTCGCCACCCTATAAAGTCATCTAGCCCCCAACAACCCCCCGGCCATTACGCTTTCAGCCCAACGCCTCAATCAACACACACACCCAACCGTGCACCCTGGCCCTCCAAACATCAAGCCACTTAAACCAATCCTCGAGGATCGCCCCCGGAAATCTCCATTCCCACACTTTCTCTTACTATTGGAAAAAAAAACCCTGTTTTCCGATCGATATTCAAGGTGCAGAGCTAGCACTGCGTAAATTGGGGTACTGCGCATAGAGTGTGAGATGCATAATGATGTATGTAGTCTTCATTTTACACTCGTGTGTGCGGAAGTGCGGAAGTGTAGATAGGCATTAAACACTGTATATACATTATACATACATTACGTAAAATTATGGAGTAAAAAAGTAACGGTACTTGGACTTTGACACACATGTACATAAACATGGAGGTTTAAAAAAAAGCTTATACTTACTTCTAGAACGATATTCGGTATGTTCCGTCGTTGGGCGTGGGCATTTTTAGATCTTGATCGGTGAAGCCGTGGGCGTGCGTGCGTCGAACTTGGTAGTTAAGGGGGTGTCCTTTTTTCGAGGGGAGGTAAGTTTATTGATATCTATTTGTCGAATGAGAGAGAATGGGGAAAGGGAAAATTCTTTTTTTTTTTGGGGGGGGGGGGGGGGGGGGGGAGGATAGTTCGTTGTGTGAATATCGTTGGAGACTTGGAGTGATTGGTAAGGCAATTTTCTTCTATGCCTGATGAGAAATCTGAACAAGTTTCGTAGTAATTCTGAGTTCGGGTCTAAGGCTGACGCTAGAGTTTCTGACTTGCAGAGCTTAAAATCTACTCCTTTTTGCCTTCTGACGTATCTGCCGAGTAGATTGTACTTTGATTTTCCAATTCAAACTTCATTTGCTTGCCTGTAGTATTCTTGAACCGTTTCAGCCTGCTAAATGAAAAGATGCTCTTGGATTAAATTCACTGGTGTACCCAACTTCACCGTGAAGAAAGACTTTATCCATAGGCGCTTGATCGAGATTAATCTTTTCCTATTTGTTTGTTTTCGTGATTTGGGTTCTGGGTCACATAAGAGGTCGCACCAGACAAGCCATGTCTTGTCGTTGGCGGATATGCGGCACTGCGAAATGTAGATCAACACATCCTCTTACGCCAGGTACCGGGCACAAGTCCAATACAATCTATTTTTTCGGCATGCCTTATTTCCGCTACTAGTACCAAGATGCCCGCAAAGTCTTCGGGGCGTAAGTATATATTGTCTTGTGGGTGACTAACATTAAGCTTTGGATCGACGTGTGAAATGACGTCTTCTATACCTCCATTAAAAGCAAGCCCAGGGGTGTAACTTACCAGCGTTCTGGAAAAAGGCTCCAAGATCTTAACATACGAATGAATCATGAGATCAAGTAAGCCTTACTCAGCAAATAACCATATCAAGATGAATATAATTATACCTTAGCTTCGCTAGAATGTAGCTAATTACTACTGAAACAAAAGACTCGCTGAGGGATACAAACAATGGCAATCTAGAGGCGAAAAATAAAAACAAGTCACCGAATCTAGACCCATTACCTTAACCGCTCCTGACAGGAAAAAAATGCAAAAAGCAAAGTCATGTCACTGGGACAAAAAGAACCGAAGCCCAAGGGGCTCGAACCCTCAACCTTTGGTGGACAGGCAGACAAGGCCGAAAACCAACGCGCTACCATTGCGCCAAGGCTCCAGTAGATGATTTGATGGAAAATTGTTGATTTGCAAAATATATATTCATTGACGTGTTTGACAGTCGCAACGCACATCAAGGCGACTCGACTACTGGGTGACCCTGATGTAAATTTACTCAAATGCGGGGTGAAAGCTTGGCCGAGCCCCTCCACATGCGTCTCCACTCTATCGATTCCTATCGCTATCGGCAATCCTATAGATCTTCTTGCATCATCCTAGTTTCGCAGTACAGGTAGGACATATTGTTGATGGTAAATGCACACCCCCCAAATACATGCAATGACTACAAGCCTTGTAATCGAGTCTGTATTTCACGAACAATCTAATGACAGTATCTCGAACGTACAAGCTATGCTACAAGTGATGATGAAAAGCTATCAAATTTCTATTTCATACGCCAGACCATGCTATCGCTAATCGACAAGACAATTGCTATACACGCCCAGTAGTCTCCAAATCACAACGGCTATCAAGTCTCAATTTCGGGGCTTCCTCCATAGCTCTTCTACATCAAGTTGCCGAGGTGACTTTACGCCGTTGTTTGGCTGTGAAGCAGAGTACTCAATACCACAAGATCCGCGGTCCAAAGCAAGAGTATTCAAATCCCAATGTAGTTGCTCTTCCGGGTCTGTAGCTAAACTTGTTCGGGTTCGGTTCTGAATCTGAAGCGGTGCAGGATCAGATATTGAGGTATTAGATGCCATTAGGGATAGTGATAGAGAGTCGAGCTCGTTGGCAAATTCCATTTCCTCTTTGCTAGCCTCCATGGCAGAGCAGATGTTACTTGGGCGCGTCTTGGCTTTGAGCTCCATTTCGTAGACTTGCTGGTCACGAGAGAAGTCTGCCTCCAACTGCCGATGTTCGGCGTACCATTGATCGTACTGCTCCTGTGACATTTGCTCGATTGGTGGGTACAGAGCGTTGTGCTGCGCTTGTCGCTCTTCCCAGATCTTCGCAGCTTCTGCTTGGATGCACTCGTGGCAGATGAAAGCAGCCTCTACGGTGTTTCCGTAAGGTTCGACACAGTTTGCACCGCAGTCTTCGACTAAATCTGTCCGGATGCGATGCGAACACAGGAGCTGATGGTAGAGACGGCCTTGACACGGTGCGAATCGTTTTGACCGTACATTATTGAATGTCGAGGCTGATGAGGAAGGTTGCGTGGAGGTGGCAAAGCGTGAGTTTGCGCCACCGCTCTCTGCACTTGGCGAACTGGTCCACCCCCATCTACACGCCATGACGAGGTTTGCATGAGACATGACATCTTCTGAGACTTTGGAAGTCGGGGCAGAACGAAAAGCGCTACTCGAGAAATCCATAGTAGGGACAGCTAAAGTCCAAGTTTGAGTTGAGGGTTGTCGATATGGCAGTGCGTCAGCTGACGACGCGTGGTTGCCTTGGAAATGTCCAAATAAGCGAAAAGGTCCAAAAGCCAGGAGCAATATCTGCTACTGAACAGACGACAGATGAATGAGCAGTCAAGGGTGTTGTGAGACAATTGACGTAGTAATTCGTATGGTCTCGTGAAAGCGCATCGTGTGTGCACAGGGCACTTGCAGTCGTGTACAACCCACGCTAACTACACCTATCGCAAAGGGCTGGTCGGTTGTTATCGCAATAGCTGTTGGGCGGCCAAAAGTGCATGTTACAATCGAGGCGGGCCGATAGCGATGTTGGAACGAAAGCGCGAATGGAAGCCCGATGAATGATGCGCTGCTGGGATGGAAGGTTGTGGACGAGTGAGAGGTGATGAGTCGCGACGCGCTGGGCCACACTCGTGATGGCGCTAAGCTTGGCCGGGCCGATGACGCTATAGAAGCTTCGAGTTTCGCTGTTGAACACCATCCACTCACACTGGCGAGCTTTGCATGCAACCGGACCACGACAAAGTATGCGATATGCGTTGTACAAACAGTGACTTATGGAAATCCAGAAGGATAATCTTCACCATCATGTGACCCGCCATCCGGTGCAGAGAACCTCAGGAGGTGGCAAAAAAGCAACAAGAGGACATAAATCACTTGACACGTATTATTAACTCTATCTCGTATGCCCCTGCTGTCATTCAAACCGTCGATATCGTTATCCTAGACCAGGAATCTGAATCCACGCTCTTGCCCAGCACGCGGTACGCTGTTGATGGCGCCCTCAACATGTTCTCCTCGATCAAGCCTTTTGTTAAGTCGTACGAGAATGATGCGCATAACGCCCGCCATGATAATCGCCAACGCAGCCGTTGCACAATCTACACTCAAGGGTATGGTCAATTTTGGCTGACCCTTCTTTGGCTGCGGATACATGTAACTAGCATAAATCGAGCTCGAGTTGCTGACGGCGTTGATGAATGCTAGCGCTGCTGCTCTCTTCGCAGGCGGGCGCGGCAACGAGTTGGAAATCCAGGCCAATGCAACGACGTAGCCCGTATACACACCCGGTACCATGAGCATCATGGCAACGTATCGAGGTGCTGTTGTGTGAGTAGCAGCTGCCAGGATGAATGCGAATACGCCGACACAGAGTGGGAGTACGATGTGGAGGAAGCGTTCGCCTGTACGGTCTGCGTGCCAGGCATTGAAATAAGTTGTAATGACTGCAAGGAGGTAAGGCGGGGCTGTAAGTAACAGCGTTTCGGTATTCGAGTATCCAAGGGTCTTCACCACAGTTGGGAAGAAGTTCGTTACCGATGCTGAGGAGACAATCGAGAGGAGCATAATTGTGAAGACCCAGGTCTTGATGTCCACCAAAGCAAGTTTGAGGCCCTTGAAAAAAGTCTGTGCCTCTGAAGATACCCAATCTTCTTCACCAATGTCTTCTTCAAGCCGGAAGACAGCAAGCTGACGTTCTTCATCGGTCAGCCACGACGTTGTGAGTGGGAAGTTCGGCAGTATCCAAAACGCCAAAAAGGCAATGCCGACAGTGATACCCCCCTGCAAAGATTAGCAATTTTTTAAACACTCTCTTGATAAAATTACCTCGATGATGAACACCCAGCGCCACGCTCGCAATCCATGTGTCCCATCCATGTTTTCTTTGATACCCGCTGTGATCAGTCCACCGAAGGCGCCTGATATCAGAGACCCAGAGTACAACACCGCAGTTCTGAACCCAAGCTCTTTCCTCGTATACCATGCACTGAGATAGAACAGGCAGCCCGGGAAATACGCAGCCTCGACCACTCCAAGCATAAAACGACATGCAATTAGTCCGCCGAAATTCTGACATGCAGCTGTAGCTCCAGAGATAATACCCCATACAACCATACAAGTCGGTAGGTAGAGAGCAGGTTTTCCAAACTTATTAAGGAAGAGGTTAGAGGGAACTTGCATGAGAATGTACCCGACAAAAAGAATGGAGATGATGGTCTGGACAAAGTAAGTATACGCTCCGCAGCTTCCAACACAATCGAACGGTGCAGTCGTACCTGATACTCTACACTGGAGAGATTTAATTCTTCTTGGAGACCAGCCAGACGTACAGCAGCAATATTATTTCTATCAAGGTAGTCTGGTAGAATTAGTCACCATTTTAATCATCATATCGCCTTGCGACTTAGCGTAAACTCGACTTACTCATGATGTACATCAGAATAGCCATGGGCATTAACCGTGTATCGATTTTCCTCCTCAACCGCTTTTCGGCTAGGACTCGCTCCTCGGGAGTCATAGCAGCCACCAGCGGCGGCGGCTGCAATTTGTCCCTCGGATCATCTTTGCTAGAACCCGCTTCAAGCACCGTAGGCTCCGGTCCGTCTTCTGAAATTTTCGCTGCAGAAACCTCCTTGTCATTATCCGGGGCTGCAACTGTTTTTGTCATATCTGCTCAAACAGCGGGTGTGTTTTCCGACCGTCCTTTGTGTAGTACTAGTAAAGTGGAGGAGGTGCGACACCACCAATTTCAATGGGGAAATTCGCGAGGTGGTTGAATAAGCAAAGAGCGGAAGACAAGATATACCAAGCAACATTGCGCGACCCTCAAGCTTATTTATGCGGAGCTTACCTGGACGGCGAAGTGAGCATTAATGGCGGGGATATCTGCAACCCATGTGCAATCTCATCTCCCCGCACCGGGGTAATCGCCCGCGCGTCGTGTCACGATGAGCCCTTTGCCGTGCATGCATACAGGAATGACGGGCCGCCGCTGGAATCAGCGACCCAACAGCATCCAGCGCACACAATGATTGGCGCGACAACCATGACGATGCAACAATATTATGTGGCGTGGGCGATGGATACACAAGACGGGTTAGTATAGTTTATTAACCGGCTGGGGACCTCGTTCCGTAGGAATCCGTTTTCCCGCTGCGAAACCTAGTCTTGTAGTAGTCTAGACTTTGTTCACAAAAAAAAAGATCATAGAAATATTTTAGTTTTTTTAAACGTATGTAGAGAACGATTTGTTTAGAAAAAAGTAAAATCAGATAAAACTATTAACTACGAACTGTATCTCTATCTCTATCTCTATCTCTATCTCTATCTCTATCTCTATATACTTAGGCGTCGAAACTCCCAAGTTGTTGAAACAAATAGAGCCTTTGACCCCTCTCTAGGCGTTGAAACTCCATGTTGTTGGAACAAAGAGGGCCTTTGAATTCTCCCCAGGAGCTCATCGCAATCCACAAGATCTTTGTGGTTGCCAGCTGATGCTTGCGGCAGTAGTTGAGAGCGACCAGGTGTCTTTTTAACAGCTGATGGTATGGCCGCTGATAGAGCAGCCTTCGGCACCCCACTTTGAACTTGTTAGTATCTGAGTTTGAAACTAATCTTGAGAGAAACTTACGTTGATCCATCCACCGTCACCATTGTTGGTAATGGAGCCTGAGGTAATCTCGAAGCAATCGTAGCTTTTGAAACAGCATTAGTATATAATCTTTTCACAGCTGCGAGAGAAAATGAAGTAGCTTACGTGGTGTGGTAAATATCCCACGAGAACTTCTCCGTAGCAGGACCATCGTACACGGCGCCAGCACTGATGGAGTATGGTCCATTCATGCAAATAACGCCCTTTGAGCCTGCCTCTCGGGTGGCATACAGATCTGGAATATGCCTCTGCATGAAGGCAGTGCGAGCCTAAAGCGATATCTTAGCACACGGTACAAGTTCAAGTGCGGCATTAACTTACATCTTCGAAAGTTTTGTAGGTATCCGATGAGGGTGCGATGGCTTCTTTGGTGCGCTCAATTCCCGCACTGATTGCACCAGCCAAGAGTTTGCCTCCAATGACATTAATCAAGAGGATAGTAATGGGACCAAACCGTTTCTCGAGAACAGCTGGAGCCTGTTTCAATTGTTAGCTTTTCCATCGATGCTGAATTTCTGGTGAGAAACTGCAGATTAGCTCACCTCAACATTGGCTACGACTCCAGTATTTTCAGTGGGAGTAGGAATAGCCAGTGCGGAAGCCGCGAGAAGGGCGAAAGAGAAGTTGCGGATGGTAGAGAATTGCATGATGGCGATGGAAGTACTCGTACTGAAGGAAGAGTAGGAAGGCTGAAGTGTTTCTGGTGATTGTAGATGTTGGAGATGCTGTAGATGCTGTGCGAAGTGATGAGTAGATGGGTGGCTGCGACTGCTATACTTATACTGTTCGTGTGCTTCTTGACCACGAGCACTTCCGTCACCAGCAACTGGGTTCAAAGTGTTCTAAGGGAACATTCCGTCACCGTGATACTCCTGTGTGGCCTTTGCAGATTCCATCATTGTACTACTTACGCCTAGCCCTCTCTCTCTGGGACAATCCGTCGTTGTCATACTATTGTGTACTAGCGTACACCGGCATTTTGCGTTAGCTCGACATATTAGCCAATCGAAACTAGAATAAAATAGCGCTCACTAGAGTAATACATACGGTTTTTGCAGCTATACTGGGGTAATGCTTGAGTTACTAAGATTAAGTAAGGGCTTCTTTCGTAAACAAGGATATTTACACCGACATTTACTATGGCATCTCTCAAATCCTTATGCCTTCGTCTGATAAAATCTGACCAAGCTAACGGAACATACCTATGTGCATTAGTATCTTTGACAGATTCTGTTGTTGTACTACTCAAGTTCAGACCTCCCTCTGACCGATACCGTCCCTCAGATGGGTTTCCCGATCAGCTGAGCATTCATAGCCAGAACCCGTATGGCCTGTTCGAAGGAGTGATTAACTATCTGGTCGTAGTGTTGGATTCGGTCAACTGAAAACCTATTCTAAAATCATGATGTTGTTACGTTAGCCGCAACAGGTCCGATTCGCGCAAAATGAATCGGAGGGAACTAGCAAATGCTTTACTCCAAGATGAAGGTAGTGTTACTCCAGAAAGCGCCGAGGGGAATAGTGACCCTCTTCTTTTAGGCAGAAATGGTCGTGGACCGGCAGCGAAAACAGTGCAGTCGCACCAGCAGATTTGGACTCTGCGAAGCAATCGTTCGATGCTTTCATCCTTGAGCCTTTACCAAATGAATGATTCCGCGGTGCAAAAGGAAGTGGCGCATATCTTCTGTGCACCTGACACCCTTCTAGTGCTAAAATCCGATGTCAATGAGAGTCGTCCCCTGCGTACCAGGGTAACCAGTGCATGAATGAAACGTTTACTAACCCGGCTATATTTTCCCTGTTCAATGTCGGAGCTCCGAGGAGAAGTGAGTTCGCGGACAGGAACAGCGCTATACTATAGCATCTTGGCCACGGAATTCGAGATCCCTGACCTTGCCGAAGCACTGCTGCGCAGGGATCATGTAGATTGGGAGTTGATATTCAAGCACCGAATCCATACAGTCCAATAGTGCCAATACCACACGGGGTACCCTTGAAGTAAGCAGCGTATCAGAAGCGCCGCATGTTTTAGTCAGCTACGCCCAGTACGGTACTTGTCCACCTTCCCTTAAGCTTCTAACTTCCACAACCCTGTGCCGCTCTGCGTCTTTGGCGTTAAGTACTCAAAGATCAAAGTAGTCAGTGAAGTCACAGAGCAGTCCAATCAATGCAATCACCGGTCGCACAATCCACGTCAAGCACTTTAAGTCCGCGTTGCGCGTTCTTGGAGGCGGTAAAACCGTTGAGGATGTGCTTCTAACCAATATAAGGCGCGGGTTGGAGTCTAAGCACCGCTAGCTATACTGTTAAAATTTACCTATTTCATATATGATACAAGGCGTGCCTATAGCGCGCTCTCTTTGCTTATTACAGCTCCCGCGGAGAGCGAATTGCTTGGCTGGTTCTCTATTCACTCTAGCTAATTTGGTTAGTCTAGCTAGTTCAGCGTAAGGCTGGTTTTCGAGCTCATTTTCTGACCGGTTTTTAAGCTAGTTTTGGCTATATGTTTAGCCCGTTTTCAAGCTCGCATTCTAGCTCGCATTCTAGCCTGTTTTATAGCTTATTTTCTAGCTTATTTTCTAGCCTATTTTTTTTAGTTTGTTTTCTAACTAGTTCGTCCTGCGGAGGTTCTAGTGTCTGTTATAGGGGAGGCTTTCAAAAGTTCTTGCTGACAGGGGTTCTTGGATTACGAAATTCTACCGACATTCTACCAATCTGTAGAAAGCTTGGAGGGCTTAATATCCGACTGCAGGGTGCTGATTAACCGAAAGCTTGGATATCCCGGATAGCGGGACGATATGAACGGGCACAGCAAGGTACATCCGAATGCTCCGTGACCCCTCATCAGATCGCATTTTGCTTGGCCTCCGAACCGGAACGAAGTTCTAGATCTTCCTTGAAATGTACAGTACAAGGCAAGGTTGATGCGAAGCTTCTTGGACTCTAAACTCACACCTAATAAAGACCCTACTCCAGTGGTCAATTTTCTCGCCCACATCATGTCTTGTTTATTATGGCTCCATCACTATTATCTTGTCTTGCTCAACTGGTTTGCAGGGGCGTAACGTCTCACCCTTCACCTTCAACTTGTAGCTACATTTAACCGCCTCTTCAAACTTGAAATCGTCCTTTGAACCTTCGACAAAGGGATCAAAACGGAAAGACTGGATAGAGTTCCGCACTTCTTCCGTAGTCCCACAAGATTTATGTGTCTGCTTATCACCCATATTCACATAGTTGACGTGTCCTTCTTCCTGTGCGTCTTATAGGTAGGTCTGATATGCTTCATGGCACTGTGGACAGAGAAATCCTGGCTCCCTCCGGGCAGTCATGTTGGTAGTTTTACAGTTTGAAGCACACTTCGAGGGTGCGTCCAGGTTGAAGGAGGTGACCTGGACGATGTGCCACGGATGAACTTGCGAACTGGCGTTCCCGCACAGGGCTGGATTTGCTTTTTGGTGAGATTAGGAAAAATATTGAAGTTTTAAGTCAAGGTTGAAGAGTCAAATTTGATGAGAAGACTGACTTACCGAATTTACAAATAGGTGCTACACAGAAGATTGGGTATTCATAACCTATGCGTTACATTGATACAAATTGTGAAGACTATACTACACTCGATTCACATAGAGAAGAGATAGAACAATGAAATTTTGATACCCTGTTTTCTTAAAAATGTCTCTTACATCTTACATTGGCGGCGGGTTCAGGTCAAGACCCTCGACACTGAGTTTGAAGCTATCCATGCGCGAATAGCTTCCCGCAGAGTCAAAGTCAAGTCTGCCTCGTTCACAATCTTCAAAATCAACTTCTGTGACAAGGAGCTCATCTTCCTTTTCCCAAATTGGTCCAGCTAGCACCTCACCAAGAGGCGATACGACCATTGAGCCACCACGAGAGACAAACTCTTCACCGTCTGCGGACCATGACCGAAGTTGCGAGAAAGGCTGCGGCTTGATACTGGAGGTTTCTTCTATGGAGTCGATAGCTGATGAGTCGCCGTTAGTCGCTGCATCTTGTCCCTTGGGAAGTGGTAAGCAGATCTCATGGCCGTCCTCTGTCCTCGTAATGGTGCTTCGCCGGCGCGCAGCACCACCACTTTGTTGCAGGATCGTTCTACCGACTCCGCTGCTACTTGCAATACTCGGTGAGCGGGCTGTTTCATTTTTTGATCCGCCTGTTATCCATTCTGGAAGATGCTTCTTCTTGACGCACTGATTTGCACTGAGAACAAAGCAACGACCCTCGCACCCAACCGTCCGCATCAGCGCAGCCCAAGTGTCGCGCGCATCTGCTGTCGGCGCAAACCAAAGATTGACGTTCTGGCTGTATAGACTCTGCCTCAGCAATGGCATGTAGTTTTCCCAGCAAATCGCCGAACCCATGCACAGCTTCACGCCCTTGATCTCAGTCGTTACTGCCCTTAGCGTACTCGCACTGCCCATCCCCCATACCAAGCGCTCACTGCCTGTCGGCATCACCTTCCGCCTCTTACCCAAAACACCTCTCTTTGGATCTACGAAAACGGATCCGCAATACAGTGTTCCTCCAGATTTCTCTACCAGTCCTGTTACGATAAACACACCCGTTTCCTTGGCGATCCTCTCCAGCTCTTCTCTCGTGCCATCACCTCTATACTCCTTTCCCTTTGGTAATTCAAGCTTCCGGTCAATCCATTCTTGGCCCGCGCCACTTGGAGTGTCTCCTAGATCGACAGCATCGTGGAAATAATGCAGGAATTGCTCGCGACCTTCGGGCGCACGTGCGCCGACCGCAGCACCGAACGAGCAAGTGCGAGGGTATCCGCCCAAGTACGCTTCCGGAAACAAGAGGATATCTATTCCCTGAGATGCAGCGCGTTTGGTGGTATTTTCAAGGGCTGAGAGTGTCTGGGCTGTTGTAGAGAGGGTGCGAGATTGCGCGGCTGCGATCTTGAGAATCTGCGGCATCGTGCTTCTTCGGGATTGAAGCGAAGCGAGAAGTATAATTAAAGGTGACCCGACGACGGGGTTAGATCTCAGGCGATACGACCCAAAGGATCATTTATAAGATTGAGCCTGTGACGCATAATGGCATGATCGGGGGAAAAATCTGTTGGTATGCCTACCCCACTGTCGTACTACTTACTATTCATTACCCCGCGCCTCGGACAGTAACGGTAGGCCACGGCATCTTGGCCAACGTCGTACGCACTGGTTGGTCTGAAGCTAGTAAAGTCAGTCATTGCTGTATAGTACTGTAGGAACTCAAGTCGCAGATATCCGGAAATGCACAAAAGGGTATGGACTAAGCAGGGATGCAGTGGAGCTACTCGGCCTGCGGACTTCAACTCCACTACGACGTCACAGCATGGATGGGATAGCACTAGCCGGAGAATTTCTTACTTTCAACGACCATTCTACATGTGACGCATCAACAATATCGCAATATCAATCCAAGTCAACAACGCGCCTGGTCCAAACATAAAAAAATTCAAACCAAGCCGGAGCACAAAATACCCGCCATGGCATCCGGCACTGACCTCGCGACTCATCTTCAAAACCTTATACCAGACTCGCACGCACAGCTCCGCGATTCTGTCCTACCATCACTCTTGAAGTCAGTGCACACCATAGCCGGCCATCTACGCACCTCGCCCAGCGTAACCCAAGTCGGCACCGCCAATGCATTCGGCGACGATCAACTCAACGTCGACGTGCTCGCCGAGGACGCCATCCGCCAAAGCATCAAAGACTGCCCTAGCATAGTTACCGCCAGCAGCGAAGAAGACCCAATCGAGAAGTCCTCAGAAAATCCCAGTCCTAGTTCAGAAACCACCGAACAATACACACTAGCCTTCGACCCCCTCGACGGCTCCTCCATCATCGCGCCAAACTGGAGCGTAGGCACCATCCTCGGCATCTGGACCGGACCCTCAGCCCTGCACTCCCCCCCATCCACACACCAAATCGCCTCAATCCTCGGTGTACTCGGTCCCCGCACCACCGCCATCGTCGCCCTGCGCCTCCCCAACTCACCATCCACCTGCTTCGAAGTCGGATACTCCCCCTCAGGCTCTATCCAGGTAATCCGCCCAACCGTCCACCTAGCCTCCCCCTCCAGCACCAAAACCCGATACTTCGCCCCTGCCAACCTCCGCGCCGCAGCCGACGACGCAAAGTACATGAGTCTCATCACGCACTTTATCCAGCAAAAATACACACTACGCTATAGTGGGGGCCTCGTCCCGGATATTGTTCACGCACTCGTCAAGGGTCATGGCGTATACATCTCCCCCGTAACACCCCAGAGCAAAGCTAAACTCCGCCGCCTCTACGAACTCACACCTATAGCCCTCATCGTCGAGTGTGCAGGTGGCGCGGCCCTGGATTCCGCAACGGGAAATCGGATACTCGATGTTGCAGTGCGGGATACGGATGAGAGGGGGGGTCTGGTATGTGGGAATTTGGAAGAGGTGGAGGAGGTACGCAAAGCTCTACTATGAGAATAACCCCATCTACTACACGTAATCTTGCACGGTTCTACCCCGCCCAAACTCCCTGAATAAAAATGCTGTAGTGTAGAAACTATCGATTGATCCATGATCTTCATCCCCTCTCCCTTTTCCATACCGCTGTAGATCAATTCCCTCCCACTACTAGTCCTCAACCCACGTGTCCCATCGGCCCTTCTTTTTTTCTACGCCCCACCACTAGTTGTACAAGGTATACACGGACGAAAATTTACCCCCGCATTAGTGAGGTGATCGTCGGGTTATCGTAATATGAAACTAGGACGAGTTTCTTGGGTTGAGCACGTCTTTTTTTTTTGCGCGGCTTGGAAGGTAGGGACGGGGGTGACAGGTGACAAGTTGACAAGTTGACAGTGCCACGTGAGGCGGTGCATCTGTGCTGAGGGATTTAGACAGCTGATAGCTTAAGTTTAGATTTTTTTTTCTTTGTGTCTTGGGAAGGTTGTATGTGGTTTGTAGATTGATCTTGATTTTTTTTCTAATATAGTTTCCTGTCGCGTACAGTGTAAGAGAACTGTATCTAGAGTGATATATTATAGGTGATGTTTTATGCATCTGCCTTGTTTCCACATCCAAGTTTAGTATCTAAGACGGCCGCCCAAAACATGTCTTCCATGCAATCGTCCCCGCTCTATGAAAATCCAAGTATTAAAAAAGGGTCCCCAGGAGCCCCTTGTGTAAAAGTCGAAAAGATTCGTCAAATTTAGGTAAGTCATACGCCGTGTGTGTGAGAGAGAGAGAGAAACATGCAAATGGTATCAAGCTCGAAAAATAAAATGAAAGGGAGTGTTGTACAAAAAAACAAAGAGCATCTTTTTTTCTCAAATTCAAATAGCGCGGCCGGTTTCGAGATCGCCGTCGCGAGATCGGACTCCAGGGTTTCCCATGCTGCCTGGTCGGAAAGCAGCACAAACATTCCTGCAGCTCTCTGCCCATTCTATTCTATCTCGCCATGCTAGGTGGGTCGGCGGCAGTTCAGTCAATGCCTTTGTGCTCTCGAAACTCTTGTGGCTGCTGTCGTCTCGCTCCTCGATGCTGATCTGGAGTTTGTGGTTGACGTGGATGCCATCTAGCGGAATTTCACTGGATATAGCATCGCCCCCACGGATTTGCGATTTGTGTGATGAAAATTGCGAGTGTTTTGATGCGAACGCATTCGATGCCAGCTTTGATCCTACTTCGGGCGTTTTTCCGCGGCTGAGGTTTCCAGTGTATCCGTCGCGTGAGGTGTACTGTGTAAGATAGCGGTTGAAGAAGACCTTTAGGGAGGGGGCCGAGGCGCATATGACGGCTAGTTGTGCTTCGAGGTTTGTCCAGATCCAGCCATAGTAGGCAATCCACGTGATATCATATGTGACTGTGTTATAAGCGTTAGCTTTCTGAACCAACCAATCAGGTTAGCAATGAGCTTACAATAGTACAGCTTTGTGGCGTAGTATGTACGCATTAGGCCACAAAAGCATGTAATCAATCCCATGCCGAAGATGCCACACAGTGCAAGCTTCTGACGCTTGCTGATCTGCAGGTTCCAGATCAAGAGGACAGGAAGCAGGCAGATGATGAAGTCCTGAACAGAGCTTATCGCTGCGCATGCCACAATGAGTGCCCCCTCATCGCGACACACCAGCTCGTTCTGAATTCTCCAGGATATGTCAAAGTAACGCCAGAACCCCTCGATTGGCGTGCAGGTGAAGAGAATGGCAAAGGTGAACACAACACCGTAGATGACGCAAAATGCAATAGTAGCATATACCCCTGTTGCACATGGAATATCAGAGCGTGTTCTCATCACAATATACAGTGACTTCTACTTACAGTAGACAAACTGATGCGTGAGACGTCCCGTGATGCGGCGATAGAAGCATAGAATCGAGACTTTAATTAGTGACGTTGAGATCATGTAGAGAAGTTCAATAGCAAGAGCAATCTACAAAGTCAGCAAGTACAAAAACCGGAAATGCAACGCACACCGACGTACCTGTCGTGAAGTGACCAAAGTCTCAGTTGTTTGGTCCCAGCTATGCCATTGATAGCCGTAAATTCGGATGCCTTTTTTTTCGTCAGTCGACATCTTGGCACGTGAACGCGATTCTTACCAAGCACGGTTGCTATTGTCAATCCAAACAGCGGTATCATGGAGAGGCTGATGAGGATATCGTCCAGTCCAGTGTTCTTCGATATCGCGATTCGGGCCCACATGCGCGCAACGTAGACGAGAAACGTTATGCCCAGAAACACCAAGAGCACAATTGGTGCCGCCCATCCTCTTTCCTCGGGGTCCACGTAATTCGGTGTCGGCCAGTTCAACAGGACCTCTGGCGGAGGGTGAAGTCCTCCACCACGAGCGACAAGGCCGGCAGCATGGGAACTTTGGCTGTAGGCGTCCATGCTAAAGTATGCGGGCTTGGGACTGTCGGACTTTGCAGGCGAGGAGAGCGAAAGGGAAGTCAAGCGTCGTTCAAAGCCGCAAGCAGTGAAAGGCGGGAATGAGCATGTAGTATACGGCAGTCAGACCATGGCCGGTGTGGCCAATGACTCTCTAGCGTTATGTGGGGTTCACATCTACCGCGCACGCTAGTCCAAACGCAAGTAGATTGATCAACGGCATGTCGCGACACATTCCCTGTTCACTCGGAAACTGATCCACGTGTTGTACCCGCATGCAGAGTGCCTAGTCGATTGTTTCCACGGCTAGTTTAGTTTCGGGAGGGGGAACATGACAATTCCGGTGACCCTATCCATGGTTCTTGAAACTGGACAATACGTATTGTAAATTGTTTGTAGAGGGAGAACAAAAAAAATCAATACTACCGCATTGATGGGATTGACTAAAGATGCGGATGAAAATTGCGAGAGAGAGCTAAGGCGGGCGGATGCATAGGATCCACTTGGGCATGCATACCTTGCTCTTAACGCTGACTGTATTCAAACGTTCTTTTCGTGGGCCTGGATGTCTTCATCTAGCAACCACACGTGGCATGCGAAACATGATGGCGTATTGGCGTCGCCAGGCTGCACATAGTCCAGGGTCCAAAACGCCCCAATACGGCATATAATCAGGCAACATGTCTTCGGTTTTGACTATTCTGAGTAGGCTTGCCCACTTTGCAACAGCTAGAACCAGAAGGGCTAGCATGCTGTCGTGCTTTCACCATGCATTCTTGTCGATCTACAGCGACTGATGGTCGAGCCATCATTTTAGGAATTGGTCATTGCAGTTCTTGGAACGGGCTCTGCCCTCAGGCCGGACAGTGGCTTCTTCGCCTAAGCCCTTATGATTCACCAGCGTATCCATTTCGAATAGTTTATGGTGTTATAGTCAATAGGTCTTTTTGTGGTTCAAGACACGGCTTCGATGTCACCCTGAGGATCCATACATGTTGCAACCGAGCCATGGGTACAGGAGGCTTGTTCAGGGATATAGCTGACAGCATGTGACTGAGAGACACGGCTGATACGGCAAAGTTAATCGTTGTATCGTAGTTACACCTGTGTATACACATCCTCGTATTCTCTCGTCCCTACTCTACGGTGGTGGGTGGGTGTGGTGGCTGCCGAAGCGGCAGACTACGCGAGTAGTAAGTAAGCTTCTGAACAGGGCCTAGGCGAGCAGAAACCTCGACATACATGTTTCGCCTCAAGGTGGATCCACAAAAGGGTCGTGCCTGAGCCACTAATAGTCAACATCATCGAGCAGGATTTGTCGGCAGCGCGCTGACAACGTGCTGAATAAAGTTACTGATGGTGGTCGGCAGGTCCCTGTCAAACCTTAATCCATCGCTACCCAACCACAGACGGCTGATGAGACTCTCGTCACGAGACATCCCGCTCAACTTCGGCGACAGATAACAGTAGTTGGAAACAATGGAGAATATCGTTTGCAGATCTCGCCAAAAGGGTGGCGTGCATGATGTTGATGGCCCTGCCCAGGAAGAATCAACCCGAGTGCTTGACTAGGTTCTGTCATGATCACGATCCTGCTGCGCACAGATTTCTCAACGCTAACCCCCTGAATACTTGGTGTGATATACCGATCCTCTACGGTTCGGCGAGTGTTCACTTCGCCTCATGTCCGTCTTGGGTCTTAACAAAGGATGTTAATGAGCATGGTCTTGGGCATGACGCCAGCGCTCAGATCAGGAGAGTGCGGCTCGATGCCAAGCATTCCGAGGACGTTCCGCTTTGTTCCAACCGCCATCTCATTCTCCCCAGCATCCGGACAATGTCCCGCCAATGATTTCCTGGTATATAGACGGACTCCATGCCCGTATTGTTCTTCTTCACCGGTTTGATTTGATCGCTGACTTCAGCCGCAGGGCGGGTGGCTGACATTGATGGCTCGGCCCCCACCGCGCGCCTGTCCCTTTTCTTGACATTGACGTATACTTTTCGCCCTGTATTCGCATATAGTGATCTTCGGTCTGGCGGATCTGCTCGAGTAACGACATTTGCACTTCTCTCCCCTTGAGAGCTTAGAGTAGACTGAAAGCTTCCATCGCCTTCCGTACCGCCTCTGTGGCCGCGCTTTCAGGAGGAAGGTTGACCCATGTCTCAACAGATTGGCTAGGATTTCCACCCATGGCGCCACCGGCTGCTTGGTTCATATCAGCCTTTTTTTTCCTTTCTGGAGGAGCATTGCCGGTAGCAGAATCACGGAAGTCCAACGTTCGAGGTGTTTGATCCGAGCCGTTCTGCTTTGCTTTTTTTGCCGTTGCCGTGCCTGGCCGTTTGCGAGGGGTGACTGGCTCCTCTTTATTGCACTCTTCCTCTACGCCGCCGAAACCATCCTGTCGCATAAACTCGTCAAAGAATTGGAGACGCGGCTCGTCAAACTTGGCGACCGCCTTACACGCCCGGTAGCCTCGTCGGAGCATGGCTGCGATATATTGTTCGGCAACACGGCGCACCTCCGACTCCTGACTCGATCCGGCACCCTCCACCGCCTCGTTATGATTCAGCTTCAAAGTAAGCCCTTCGAGAGCTACTTCGGCGCGCACCACGTCGATGAGGCATGTTGGACAGACAAACGGATAACCTTGTACAGGGCGTGCGCAGAGCCCGCCACAGCTTGCAGTATACTCAGTCTGGATCCTGTGTCCACACTGTAGATCGTGGAATGTTGATGAAGAGTTGCATGGACTGTACATGTCCTGGAATTGTTGTTGGTCCTGTTGTTCCCAAGCTTGATGTTGCTGCTTCTCGGCTGCAGCGAGTCTCGCATGGAACGCCTCAATGGTAGCGCGAGCGCTGGCTGTTGTAGCTTGCATTGTTGACATTTACGAAGCTCGAGTGTTGCGATTTCGGGTAAGATTGGAAGACGAGCGCGAGCTGGTTTTGAACATGAAAATCGGATGCGGGGCGATCGACTACTACTGTATCGTCGACTCCCGGCAACCCCATCTCGCTAGCATCACCGCGTAAGTATTACCATCTGCACATCATTATGCCATATCGGCCCGTCAGCCCCACGGTGTCTAGAAACCCAGCCTGGCTGGAGTTTCGCAATGCTTGGATAGTTGTAACATCTTTTTTGGGTCAGACAAATGACAAGGCTGTACAGACCTCGGCAAGCCATTGCTGGGCCAACCATATGTAGGTATGAGTGTACGTGTATACAGAGACCACTCTCCAGAGAACTTCTACAACATCCGACGCAATACCAGTAAGTCTTCACCAGAAACCACCGAAACTTGCAAGACATCTCTTTCTGCCTGATGATTAAACGTATATTGGATATGCTAAAATGAACGCAAGAACAAAAGGTAACGTATGGTATGCTATTCTAGAAAAAGCGCACTTGACACCTGTACCTCCCGGAGCGACGCCATTGAGCCCAAGGAAGAAACCGCCCGTTATTACCAACGCGATGCATGCTGAAAATTAAAAAGGGGGCCGTGCATCACATTTCTCCATTGGGAGTAATGCACTACACGCAGTATGTCGGTTCAGAGATTGTGTGACATCAGGTTTGGCATTGAAGGCCGCTGAATGGGAAGCCGTGTAGGCTGCCCGCGCTGTTCAAGATGGCTAAGCCTGGATCGTAATGACTCCAGCTTCCTTCGTACCATCTCCACTTCCGAGACTGCTTCTGCACCGGGATGTTGAGGTCTCGGTGATGGCAAGGACAAGGGTGATACTGTGGTAGATGGTCCAGGTTGGGGTTGCGTGGCTGGATCTTTGGGACGAGGAGAACATGATGCAAGTTGTTTTTCCGAAGCATTAGCCTTTGGTGACAGCCCGGACTGTGTGTGTTGTGTAGCGGACTGCATTTCCGCTTGGTTCGACTTCAAACTTGGGTGAGAGCGCGGTTTTGAGCATAGTTCTTCTCTCTTTTTGCCTCCATGTTCACGAGTATCTGATGGCGTGCCAGTCGACACTTTAATCTCCTTGCTTCCGAGTTCCAAAACAGGGCTTATTATGTTGTCCTTCTGAGGGGTTACTGCCACTGGCACTGGTGACCCCTGCGCTGATGATGCAAGATTTTGCCTTAGCCGATCAAGCGTTTGAACGAGAATGGCACAGTTCTTGCAAGCAGACAAGTCGATAGACTTGGGATTTGTTCGTGGCAACGAAGACATGCTAGAGGCATCACCCATATATATATGCTTCATCCCCGGGTTGTTATCGCCACAAACGGGCGTTGCTTTCCTCATGGTTGTTGTAGGCGATGATGGTGCTGGCTTTGAACTGTGCTTCTTTCGCCACTGCTCAATCTTTTCCTCTGTAGTCATGGAACGTCCAAAATTTGATAAGAGTGATGGTTCTGCCCAGGGCTCAAGTTCCACACTCTTATGTTTCAGGTCGGCTGGTAAGGTTGCAGATCGTGTGAGTGGTCTTTGTACAAGTTGCAGTATTTCCTTTGGGATTCCTGGTGCGCGTAAGAGTGGCACTTCTACTTCTTTACTTTTTCCCTGTGAGATTGCTACTGTTCGATCTAGTGGACTTTTCACCTTTGACCTGCCCTGTCTGATGATTTCGAGCATCTCTTTGCCCTTGGGAGCGGTGGTCAGATTCTCGTAGCCTCTAGCAGTTATCAGAATATCATCTTCGATGCGAACTCCGCCCACAGGTAAGTAGCGCTTCAGTGCTTCAGTGTTGATAAATTTTGAATGGACCGGCGACGGGAGATAGAAGTGTTGCAAAGCATAGGCCGAGAAGTAGATGCCAGGCTCGACAGTCACCACCATGCCTTCCTCAAGATGGCTGCTCCGAGGATCTGCTGGCGCGCGACATGTCTCGGGATTGTATACTGGGCTGTGAAAGTTTTCTGGATAAAGAGAAGGTGCCTATGGAGTATCAGTAGCTGTCGACGCATATTGCACATTTCAAACCAACCTGTTGAGTGACAAGCTTGCCTCTTCGGATGCTCATCAAATCTGCTTGACTCG